AGCAAGAACAACATTCTCGCCGACGCTTTGTCTCGGCGTCCCGACTTCGACCCACGCGGTGCATTGGGTCGACAAGCTTCGCTGGATGAAGACGATGTAGACGAGTGTGCCACGTGCGAGGCGTCAGGCGTCAACCTGACGAGCGTCTCCTCGGTAATGCCACTTCTCGACGAGATCCGAGCTGCTTACGACCATGACTCGATGTGCTCCAGTATCCTGGAGCATCTCCGCTCTCTTAGCGCCGATACACTGGGAGCCCTTTCCCGCTCTGTACGAAACAAAATCCACCGATATCGTCTCAAGGACGAGCTGCTGACGTACAGCATCGACAACTTCGATGCCCCACGTGTCGTTGTCCCTAATGACCCCGATCTGCGCTCACGGATTATCCATGAGTTTCATGATACCCCGCTGGGTGCTCGTCTCGGTCGCGAGAAGACATTTGCCGCTGTGTCACGCGACTTCTATTGGCCCACCTGTACAAATGGGTACGAAAGTGGGTGCGTACCTGCGAGATCTGCCAGCGCGTGAAACCTGCCTCGTCTTCGCAAGCTCCCCTGCGTTCTCTACCGGTGGCCACCGAGGCCTGGCGCTCGGTGTCGATGGACTTCATCTTCGGGCTCCCACCCGATGCTAAGGACGCTCAGGTGTCTTGGTGTTCGTAGACCGCTTCAGCAAGATGGTCCACCTGATTCCGGTGTCGGATTCGATCACCGCGGCAGATACCGCGGTGCACTTCATCGATGCGGTCTTCCGCCATCATGGTCTTCCTGAATCCATCGCCTCCGACCGCGACCCACGCTTCACGTCGGCCTTCTGGTCGAAGCTCTTTGAGCTACTAGGCTCGAAGCTGTTGATGTCCACAGCAGCCCATCCGGAAACGGACGGCCAGACAGAGCGCGAAAATCGCGTCCTCGAAGACGTCCTTTGAAGCTACGCGACGTCGTTCTCCAGATGGAGCTCGTTTTTGACTCTGACCGAGTTCGCGGTGAACAACGCGGTACACGCGTCGACTGGACTGACGCCCTTCTTCATTAACAGCGCGCGACACCCGCGTGTCCCTGCTTTTCTCGCCGTGGACCATCCCACAGCGCCGTGTGTCTCCAATCTGGGTGGGGAAGAAGCTGCCGACAAGCCGTCTACTCCAGCTCCGATGTCTCCGGCGGCAACACCGGTACTGGGTCGACCGGTACACACACCGGTTGCTAATGATATCTCGAGTGTATCCCCAGCTCCCACGTCAGTCAACGCAGTGACACGTTCCGCATCGAGCCCACTTGCGCCGGCTAACTACGCGCCGAAGCATGCGGCGCGACCAATCGACTCCGCAGTCGTCTCCGACTTTGTACTACAGCGCCAAGCGGTCACCCGCTATGTTCGAGACGCACTGCAGGACGCAGTGGACAAGCAGAAGGAGAACGCTGATAAGACTGGCCACAAGAACACGGCCACGTTGACGACAGGCGGAATATGTCTCCACGTCGATTTGAAGACAGTCAGACCGTCTTACTCCCGTTAAGTCGACACGGACGACATCTACAATACTGGCGGCGGTCCAGATGGGACGGACTTCACGGACGTGACGTGTCGTCGATGGGAAGGCATCGACGATGGCTGGAAAGTGTACGGCAACTGTGCTGCTCAGTACTCGGACGGCTCGTACATTTTCGGCGAGGAAGTGGCCGGTATGACGTCGTATGAGAACTCGACTGTTTACTGTGAAGGAGGCGACTACGACTGCGTCCCAGCGGGTCTGGGACGAGCTCAGACGATGGTGTTCTTGGGTTTGGCCTTCACGGAGGTGCTGCGAGCCTACACGGTGCGTCACTTCACGGAGCCTGTGTTCGCACGGATGTTGTCGAATGGCTACATGCAGTTGGCGGCGTGTATGTCGGTGATTTTGACGGTGCTCGTGAGCAACGTCCCTGTTATCATGGACGACATCTTTGGATTCGAGTACATTCCGTGGTATCAGTGGCTTGTGGTCGGAGCTGTTGCAGTCAACAACGCGTTCTGGGGTGAGATCCTGAAGGCCTATTTGCGACGGAAGGACCGGGCGCAGGCTCGCTGGGACCACATGAAGAGCGGGTTCGAGGAGATTTTGCTCGAGATCCGGCATGTGCGCCATCATGTTGAGAGGCTTGAAGCGGGTGGAGCTCATCGTGGACTCAAGCGTGAGTAAAAGGCGACAATGTCACCTTGGGAGCGAAGGTGACGAAAGTGTGTATTGCGTATGGATCGACGTGCGTTAAGGCAGCTAAGACTAGGAAAAACTGCCGCGTGAGTTCGTTCTCGAGCCCCAAGAGCAGAGACCGAGTGTAGTTAGCATTGCGGTTAATGAATTTATCAACATGAATGCTCATTGATGAATGCTTATTGAAACACAGTTAAATGGAGATATTGTAGGCGTCCTAGATGCTGAAGTACAAATCTCTGCCGTCTAGGAGACTGTACTCACGATATTGCTGTGGCTACAAAAATGCTACATGATCTCTTCGGTCAGATCCGGCAGGAATGCCAGCTCCTTCGCGTAGTCGTCCAAGCCAATGTTGTTAGCTGGGTGTTCGTAGAGATCATTTCTCGTATCCTCCTTTGCTTCATTTCCCTCGGTTGTTAACACTCGAGCAACCGAGATGTATGTTCCGTCCAAC